AATGTGTCGATTACAAAGAGTCACTCAAACACCAGTGTGTGTGTGTGTGTGTGTGTGTGTGTGTGTGTGTGTGTGTGTGTGTGTGTTTGTGTGTGTGTGTGTGTGTGTTTGACTTTCATTGGCTTTAAGCAACCATGGGATGGATGGATGGATACTATGTCCAGGGCCCAAATCGGGACGGTGGTCATATGTCCTGGCAGCCTGCTGCCTTATTTAGAAGGAAGGTGTAAAAACAGTGCAGCCAGTCACAGCAGAGCAAATGGCAATCATGTCTGACACTTCCTTAGCTGTTTGTCCAGGAAGTTTACACAACCAAATATTCTGCCTGGTCAGATTGCGCGTTATTATTGTAAGTAACACACCCTGCAACTAACATAAAAATATAACTGGCATATATCAAATACTTGGCATTGTTTTGGGTAACCCATTAAATTCAGACCCAGAAAGTTGTACTGCTGATGGAAATAATTAGGCAAAAATAATCATTTTACTTTGGATAAATATCCACATTTTGTTCTATCATCATTTAAAAGACTTCATTTCAACAAATTGACATGGTTTGTTCAACGGAAACTATTTTCACAATGAAATAATTCTTATTTACTGCTTCTTAGCAGTACATAAAATCATTCTAGTGAATGATTTAGAGCATACTATAACGCCATTCTAAGCATTTACAACATTTACTACAATTTCCCTTGTGGGTGAATGTATGTAATAAAAAAAGCAAACACTGTCCCTGAATTATTCACAATCAATAAAAAGGTTTGGTTATAACATTGTGAAAATAAAAATAATTCTGAGTGCACTGGGTTCACCCCCTCCGCCTCGCTTTACATCCATGTTTGCATCCTGCTCTGCAGGGTGCTGGTAGGAGATGAAGGCTCAGGGGAATTCCCAGATTGCCACAGACCTCTGAGGCCCCGAGGTGCTATCTGCTGCCAGGGAGCCTCAGACCCACCTTAGCAACTGTGGAGGCCTCAGTGCAGATAAACAGCACTACCAAGAGACTCCACGATGGAAAAAAAGACAACAAATAAACAAACCGTTTTAATTTAGATTCTAAACTGGGAGGATACGTTTGAAAATGGCCCACAGCCAAGCTGCATTTAGACACACCAACACACTTAAAAAAAACAATCAAAGCTAAGCAGGAAATGCATGTATGTTATGAACACAACTGCACAAAAATAGTCTACATTTTCATAGTTTAAGATCCAAACATGCGATATCATATATAGTCAAAGCAGATGCTGGGAGACATTTTCTGTGGAGCTCTAGAGATACATTTACTTTTGGTACTAGTTAAACCAGCTTATTGGTCACCTGGGAGACAGTGAAAAGAACTTCTGTCTCTATCTGCATCTCTTCTTCTTCAATGGTTGCATTGGTTGCATTGTGTGAATCTTTATAGACTCTAAAAGACAAGAACTGGGTGCACAAGTTTGACTTTATTTAGGATTGTCTCTAATCCACAAGGGGGCAAAAGTAAACATACAGGCATATATACATGAACCCCAAGTAATATTTGGTCAACTGTGCCTTAGCAAGTTGCACCTTGACCAGATGCTTCTGGCAGCCATCAACATGCTTCTGGGATAATTCTGGATATTTAAACACTCTTGGCAGAACTGATAGAGTTCATTTAAGCATAGTCCTGAAATTTCTAGTTGGTTTGAACTGAAAGATTTGGGAAGGCCATTCCAGAAGCTGTTATCCTGCTTCATCCATTTCAAAACCAGTTTTGATGGTGATGTTTGGGATCATTGCCTTGTTGGAACACACGACTTTGTCCAGGTTTCAATCATCTAGCAGTCTATTTGAGCTGAAGTTGAAGAATTTCGAGGTAGTCCTCCTCTGCCATTATTCCATTCACTTGCAATGTACCAGTACCACTGGCAACAAAACAGCCCCAGAGCATGATACCACCACCACCATGCTTGACAGCTAGTACAGTGTTCTTAGTCAAGTCATCTTTATTTATATAGCACATTTAAAAGACATCAAGTGTCGGCCAAAGTGCTGAACAGAGGGATAATAAAATAAAATAATTAAAATAGAAAGAAAACATTTAAAAACTTTAGGCATTTGTCACTCAAGCCTGTCACGCCTGCAACTTGTTCAAAATGCAGCCGCAAGGCTCCTGACGGGTACTAGAAAGAGAGAGAATATTACTCTACATTGGCTGCCAGTTAAACATAGAATCGATTTTAAGGTTTTATTATTTGTTTTTAAAGCTCTCCATGGTTTGGCTCCAGGTTACATTTCAGATCTTCTTAGCCTGCACTTACCCACTCGATCTCTGCGCTCCTCCAGTCAGATGGTTTTATCAGTTCCACGCTCCCAGCTCAAATCTAGAGGTGACAGGGCTTTCTCCATTGCCGCCCTGAGACTCTGGAATAGTCTTCCCCCCTTCATAAAATTCTCTTCATCCTTGGAAGTCTTTAAATCGAATCTCAAGACCTACTTATTTTCCAAGGTTTTCGGATCTCTTTGATATCTTTTTTTATTCTGTCTATTTGGTCTTTTATCTTATTGGATGGTGTTGTATGTGTATAGTACAGTGTTCTTAGGCTTGAAAGCCTCAGTTTTACTCCTCCAAATATTCCCTTTGTCATTGTGGTCAAATTGCTCAATCTCTGTCTCATCTGGCCATAAAACCTTGGTCAAGCTTTTGGCTTTGGACAGCTGCAAATGTCTATCAGGATTGAAGGTGGTGCTTTTAGACCAGGGGCTTCTTTCTTCTTTCTCAGTCCATAGAGACGTAAAGCTGTCTTCACTGTGAACAAGAATGTTCCAGCAGTTTCTAATTCATGGCAGGCTTGAGCCTTTGTGGTTCCTGGGTTGTTCCTGAACATCCTAAAAAATCTTCTCTAATCAGATGGTGACAGTTTGGGTCTTCTTCCAAAGAAGACCCAAAGTGGTGATACATCTGAATAACAGTATTCAGACGCATTTGTTTGAACTGATGATCTTGGAATCTACAGATATTTAGAAATGTTTATTTAATGAATTAAATTAAATGTATTTAATATTTATTTAGGTCACTCATGATCAATAACTAGAAGTGAGTGGGCCTTGTCAAGTCAAAAAACGCTTATTAAAAGATTTAAGAGCACATATGTGTATATTTGACCTTATATTTACACTTTTGACCTTGTGTGGATTAGAAAAAAACATACATTGAAATTTGCGCACCTAATTCTTATTTTTAAAGCGTTTAAAGATGCATGCATGTGTGAATTGTTTCATCACAGAATAAGAACACTTCAAAGAAATCTTTAAAAGCCCCAAACTTATCATGATCATGGTA